AGAAAGCTATATAATCAGTTAGAAGATGGAAAGTCATTATTCATCTCGGTTACAGGAAACCAAATGTATTTAAAGATGAACATGTTACCTTAACGGTCCAGTTCTTATCTACCAGCAAATTTGACGACTTCAGATCACGATGGATGATGGGTGGACTACAACGGTGAAGATAATTCATACCGCGAGCCTATGAAGAAGTATGTAATATGCTGTATCAGATGTACGGTGACTGAATATAATGGAGCGGAAAAGAAGGATCCCAAGACAAAATACAAAGAAGTAATCAAATAGAGCAGCTCATACTTAGAAAATTGTCTACGTGCAATTGTCAATGATCAGAGAAATGAAAAAATCAGATGTCTATTGGACGTATAACTAATACTCACAATGTCCAAGGCCATCTGGATACGCCGTCTCCAATCCAGTTTTGACGAACTTCTCTGCAGTAGACGGAAGAGACTTCCACTGCAGTTTGTTATTCGAATGATTAGGGGCATGGATAAGAGCTATGGCTTGAAGGCCCAAAAACACAAATAAAGTGAGAATAGTAACTAAAAGAGATGAGACCCGAACCGTGGAAGGAACTCTGAAACTATACAGAGACGCTGAGGCGAAGTCACAGCTCCCATAAACAGCAGAACGTTTGGATGTCTAAGTCTTTTCATTAACAATACCTTCACAGAAAAGCAAGACCAATATAAACAAATTAGAATATTTGGATGTTGGTTCTAATTAAAAACCAAATAAAATGTCAACTGACTTTTGCCAAAACTACACGCAGAGCAATCATTATGGAGAAGGGATTAAAGACAACACCTCTTGTCTAAAAGATTGCATGACATCTTCTGAATACTCTTGTTTGGAGAACACTTTTACAGCTACATCCTGCGGTCACATTAGCAGCTCCCAATAAGGCAGCAGATCTTTGAACTTGCAATTGTGTTTTTTTTTTTTAAATAACAAATCATCAAATGCATATTCTACAATATCACCAGAAGCCAAAAACATACAGATCCAAACCACAGACCATGATAGACAGTTCCACATGAGCCTGTAAAATTAGAAATTACTGGAGTATGTTAGCAGAATAGAGACAGAATATCACATAGAAGTAGTAAAGCACATGATGTTATAACTTATAAATAATGGATTTGTCTGGCAAACCGCAAACGAGATAATACAGAATAAATACCTTGTCCAATTTGTTCTCCGATCGTCAAATCATCCCATAAAATTTCATATTCCAAGCAATCACTATCTGTATCAACCTTGTTAATAACACTGCTGCTGGTACTTCCGCTGTTTGTGCTGTCCGCATTTATAGAAGAAGACCACAGACTAGAATCCTCGTTATTACTTTCAGAGGCATGGCTTTCAGACTTAAAACCAGAATGTGTAGGCCTTCCTTTTGAACGTTCCTGTTCATTCCCTTTCCATGACCATGGCATACCTTTCTTTACCATCCATTCTTCTGCTTTTGAGGTGAGACCCTTACGGATTGTAGACCTTCCATCAATCTCATCACTGGAATCTTTGATGCGCTTCGAAGGAAACTTCTCATCGTTATATGTGAATACACCAAATGGAGCGTGTATAACATCCCCTCCTGATGCGCTGGCACCACTTGATGCTGCATCGCCCCTGTGGTCAGTGAGAGTAGCACCGAAGACACCATGATGACTATCCCCACTGCCACCCTCAGAGAGTGTGACACTACTATCACCTGCTCGCATTTTCGACCTGACCTTGTTGCTCACCTTGGATGCCTGTAAGTTTAACACTAGTCAAATCAACAAAAAGATAAAAAAGGTGACAATATACAAACTACAAGTTGAACTAACCAGATCTGATATCTTTGATGCTATAGCAACTTGTATAGGCTGGTCAGAGTTGAGGCCAAGTTTCGATATAACAGTTCCTTTGGAGTCCAAACCAAGTTTAGAGGCAAAACTAGTCCTTGCAGGGATAGAGCTCGTTTCACCTTCTTCTTCTGCCTTTAATTTATCCAAAGAGGTTCTCGGGTTCATATACGCTGATGTGTAACTTGTGATAGAAATGATCCCAACCAGAGAACCATCATCATCATAGAAGGGGGAACACGTAGTGACTGTTGAAATTTTCTTCCCTGATTTGCTCTTGATAGGAAACACGCCAGTCCAGCTCTCTCCATTGACGCAACGTTGAGCAACATTCATCGCAAAGGCAGCATCCTCATCATCTACCATAACATTAATTGGGTTTTGCCCAACTACTTCTGTAGCAGTGTACCCATAAAGCTTTTCCGACATGGCATTCCTGGAAAAATTATGTTAATCGAATTGGAATCTGAAAACATACCGGATAACAGAAAATAGTACAAATGAACAATGCAGAACTATAATCCAAACCGTCTATCCGTGAAATCACATCATCCGCTGATTTTTCAACATCAGTCGGTTCGGACATCATAGCATTTGACTATACATTTCCAAACTGAATTCACTAGATCGACCTACTCACCAAAATATTATTTGCATATTTAGATCGGAGGCATGAACAGATTGTGCCATGGACTGCAAAATATTCAAATACTGTTTATTAGTGAACTTTCCAGTCAATGGTCCCCCTCCAGCTACGCCATCTCTCAATCTCATCGAATCTTGGATACGGTGGCTCTCCTTCCGCATCGACGAAGAGTGACGAAACGAGGCAGCACCGCTCTTCCTCCACGCCGTAGCTCCCTCGCCGATGTTTCTCCTCGCCGGCTGATACGGCAACACTGAATGTGATTGCTGCCTAAGTTCCGTCGATACCTTAAGCATAGACATCTCCCGCTTTAGATGCTCTTGACTTTCCTCCAGCTCTATTAACTTTTTCAGCAGCTCCTTCGCAGGTGGAGTCTCCATTGCGCTAGGGAAAAAAAAAAACAAATCCCTACCAGAACACGGAACAAAACTTAGCTCTTCGATCAAATCTGAAGCTAGTCGAGTTGAAACGGACCTTGAACAAGCTGCTTAATCCATGGTCGAAATTCTTCTCAAATAAAGAATCGAGGAAGGTATTGATTCGATTCGACTATGGAGGATAGATTGACTGTGTTCTCTTGCTTCCTAGCAACGATTCAAAGTTTCTCTCCTTAGTCAACAATGATGGAAACGCTTCCTTAAATTTCTGAGCTTAGAGAGAGAAGACAAAAGAAGAGATTGGCAGGTTCTAATTTAATTGGTTACGCAGACAAAAACAAAAATACAATCAGTTGACAAAATCATAATACGTAAGAAAGATACAGTTGTGTGTTAGATGAGTGTTCAATCACAACTATAATCCATAAGCAGAGGAACTTCTACACCCTTCTTTTTTAGTTTTTTATTCTATATGTTACCTTATAATTCCTACAAAAATTTACCTTTTTTCTTACCTTTTTTAAGCATTAATTTAGAAACAGAATGCCTTAAAGATAGAGTTCTGTGTTAGATTAATTTAATTTTTCTTTTTTACCAAAGTTAAGACCTTAAAGGTTCAAACTCAAAGTTACATCAGACATTTTTAACAAAAACATTCAAAGCTATTAGAAAAAATTGAAAATCGAAAGGAAAATAAATTTGAACTTGCCGCCCCACCGCTTCAACTAGAATATTGCAATCGCTATCTAAGACTAAGACTAAGGTATGTCAGCCAAAATATCAGCAACTAACTAACTCACCTTTTTAAATTGAAAATCATTTTTTTTTTATGTTCTTCATTAATAAATGCTTGCTTGCTAACGTCGCATAGTTCCCGACTACAACGGAGAAGATAATTCATGCCACGAGCCTGTGTGAAGAGTTATGTATATGCTGTATGAGATGTACAGTGACTGAGTCTATAGAGTGGAAAAGGGTCACAAGACAAATACAAAGAAGTAATCAAATAGAGCAGCTCATACTTAGAAAATTGTCTACGTGCAATTGTCAATGATCAGAAACGGAAAAATCAGATGTCTAATGAATGTATAACTAATACTCACATTGTCCAAGGCCATCTGGATGCGCCGCCTCCAATCCAGTTTTGCTTTACTTCTCTGCAGTAGACGGAAGAGACTTCCACTGCAAATTGTTATTCAATGATTAGGGGCATGGATAAGAGCTATGGCTTGAAGGCACAAAAACACAAAGCAAGTGAGAGTAGTACCCAAAAGAGATGAGACCGAACCGTGGAAGGAGCTCTGACACTCTACAGAGACGCTGAGGAGATGTCACAGCTCCCATAAACAGAAGAACGTTAGGATGTCTAAGTCTTTTCATTAACGATACCTTCACAGAAAAGCAAGACCAGTATAAACAAATTAGAATATTTGGATGTTGGTTCTAATTAAAAACCAAATAAAATGTCAACTTTCTTTCGCCAAACCTACACTCAGAGCAATCATTATGGATAAAGGATTGAAAACAATACCTCTTGTCTAAAAGATTGTATGAACTCTTCTGAATATTCTTGTTTGGAGAACACATTCACAGCTACATCCTGCGGTGACATTAGCAACCCTCAGTGAGACAGATATCTGAACTTGGAACTTTTTTTTTAATTATGGAAGCGTGAATAAATCAGAAAATGCGTATTCTCCAATATGACCAGAAGCCAAAAACGTACAGATCCAAACCAGAGACCATGATAGACAGTTCCACATGAACCTGTAAAGTGGAAAATTATTGGAATATGTTCGCAGAACAGAGACAGAATATCACATAAAGTTAGTGGAATGTATGATGTTAAAAAGAACGGATTTGTCTGTCACATGAGACAATCTGTTTAAGAAGATAATTACCTGGTCCAATTTGTTCTCGAATTGTCAAATCATCCCACAAAATTTCATATTCCGAACAATTGCTATCTGTATCAACCTTGTTCGTAAGACTGCTGCTGGTACTTTCGCAGCTACTAGCGCCGCTGGTGCTCTTCGCATTTATAGAGGAAGACCAACTAGAAGCCTCCTTACTGATAGACTTGCTACTTTCAGAGGCATGGCTTTCACAATTAACACCAGAAGAGGGACTGATCTGGTGAGACTTATCCTTCTTTTGCTCATTCTGTACCAAAGGGCATACAGAATGTGTAGGCCTTCCATTTGAACCTTCTTGTTCATTCCCTTTCCATGGCCATAAAATACCCAATCCATTCTTCAGCTTTTGAGGTGAGAACCTTATGGATTGGAGACTTTCCATCACTCTTATCACCGGAATGATCCCAATAAGAGAACCGTCGTCATCATCATCATAAAAGGGGGAACATGTACCTGAAAATCTCTTCCCTGATATTGCTCTTGACAGGAAACTCACCAGTCCAGGTCTCTCCATTGACACAACGTTGAGCAACATTCATCACAAAGGCAGCATCCTGATCATCTACCATAACCATTAACTGGGTTGTGCCCAACTGCTTCTGCAGCAGAGTACCCAGATTGCTTTTCCGCCATGGCATTTCCTGAAACAATCATGTCAACGAATCGGAATCTGAAAACATACCAAATGAACAATCAAACCGTCATACTCTCTGATTATGGTTCCAGAATATGGGAATCAAATCCAGAATCATAGCATCTGAGTCTATACATTTCCACACAAAAAAAAAAAAGAATTCCAGCGAGACGTGAACCGTCATATTCTCCTTCTCGCTGTAGCTCCGTCGCCAATGTTTATCCTCGGTGAATGCGATACGATCGTTGCTTAAGCTCCGTCGATAGCTTGAGCCTCGACATCTCCTGCTTTAGATGGTCCTGGCTTTGCTCTAGCTCTAGCATCTTCTTCTTCAGCAGGTGGAGTCTCCATTGCGCTCGAGAAACCGAAACCCTACCAGAACACTGAACACAACTAGCCCTCCGATCAAATCTAAAGCGGAGCGAGTGGAATCGCTTTCTAGAAACTGGAATTGAAAGATACAAAGTTTCGCTCTCTAGAAATTGGAATTGAAAGCAGTCATCGCTTCCTGAAATTCTGGAATTAGAGAGAATTTGGTCGGTTATCTATTGGTACTCGCCAATTTTGTTGGTTAGGC